CTTTAGGATGGAATGTTCTGAATATATCTGTGAAGTCCATCTGTTTCAGTGTGTCATTCAAAGCCATTGTTTTCTTGTTGGTTTTCTGCTGAGATGATTCATGCATTGCTGTAAGTGGGTGTTAAAGTCCCCTGCTATTATTGTATTATTATCAAGGATTTCCTTAATGTTTGTTATTAATAGTTTTATTTATTTGGGTAATCCCATGTTGGGGGCATAAATATTTACAGTTGTTAGATTTTCTTATTGGATAGTCCCCTTTATTATGATATAATGCCCTTCTTCATCTCTTGTTACAGTCTTTGGTTTAAAATCTTGTTTGTGTGATAAACGTATTGCTATTCCAGCTTTCTTTTGACATCCTTTTGCATGATAAATGTTTCTCCATCCCCTCACTTTCAATCTGCATGTGTCTTTAGGTCTAAAACGACGTCTCTTATAGGCAGCATATAGATGGGTCTTGTTTTCTTATCCATTCTGACACCATATCTCTTTTGATTGGAGCAAGTAGTCCATTTACCTTGAGAGTAATTATTGATAGATATGTATTTAGTGCCATTTTTTAAAAAAGATTTTATTTATTTATTTCGCCGAGAGAGAGAGAGAGAGAGAACTCACGCAGGGGGAGTGGCAGGCAGAGGGAGAGGGAGAAGCAGTCTCCCTGCTGAGCAGAGACCCTGGTGAGGGGCTCGGTCCCAGGACTCTGGGATCATGACCCAAGCTGAAGACAGACACTTAACTGACCGAACCACCCAGGGGGGCCCCTTTAGTGTCATTTTTTTGCTTGTTTGTCATTGTTTCTGGAGATTTTCTCTGTTCCTTTCTTGTCTTTGTTACTTTTGGTCTTTCCTTTCCACTCAAAGCGTTCCCTTTAATATTGCTTGCAGGGCTGGTTTAATGGTCATGAACTCCTTTAGTTTTTTTTTTGGTCTGGGAAACTCTTTATCTCTCCTTCTATTCTGAATGATAGCCTTGTTGGATAGAGTATTCTTGGCTTCAGATTTTTCCCATTTAGCCTGTTGACTATATCATGCCACTCCCTTTTGGCTTGCCAAGTTTCTGTTGAGAGATCTACCAGCTAGCCTTATGGGTCCCTTTATACCACATCTTCTTTCTCCATTCATCAGTTGATGGACACTTTGGTTGTTTCCATAATTTGGCTATTGTAGATAATGCTGCTATAAACATCAGGGTACATGTATCCTTTTGAATTAGTATTTTTGTATTCTTTGGGTAAATACAAAATGGATCATAGGGTAGTTCTATTTTTAACTGTTTGGGGAACCTCCATACTGTTTTCCAGAGTGGCTGTGCCAGTTTGCATTCCTTGTTTAATATTTTGTGAAGGATTTTTATCTATCAGAGATACTGGTCTGTAGTTTTGATTTATATTGTTTTCCCTAATATCTTATTCTTTTTTGGGGGAAGAGTTTGTGTGAACTGGTATTATTTCTTACTTAAATATTTAGTAGAATTTATCATTGAAACCATCTGGGCCTGGAGTTTTCTTTGTGGAAAGATTTTAAACTACAGATTCAGTTGCTTTAAAATATATAGGACTATTTGGGTTACTTTTTTCTTCTTGAATGAGCTTTAGTAATTGTGTCTTTAACAGAATTTAAGTTGTTGAGTTTATTGGTATAAAGCTGTTAAAAATACTCCCTTGTTATCTTTTTAATACTTTAGGAATCTGGAATGATGTCACTTCTCTCATTTCCTGATACTAATACTAGTAATTTGTGTCTTTTTTTTCCCCCAAGATTAGTCTGGCTGTAGGTTTACCAATTTTATTGATCTCTGCGAAGAATCAGCTCTTGGTTTTATTGATTTTTATTTTCTATTTCATTAATGTTTGCTTTTATCTTTATGACTTTTCTGTTAAGTTCAGATTCTCTTTTATTAAGATTTATTTATTTATTAGAGAGAGAGAGAACATGTACATGCATGTGTGAGAGGTGGGGGCAGAGAGAGAATCCAAGCAGACTCCCCACTGAGCACAGAGCCCAACATGGGGCTTAATCCCACAACCCTGAGACCATGACCTGAGCCGAAATCAAGAGTCAGATACTTAACTGACTGAGCCCCTGTAACTTCATATTTGATTGAGATCGAAGCTAAAGTTAACTTATTTGAGACCTTACTTTTCTAGAATAGGCATTTAGTGCTGGAAATTTCCTCTTAGTACTATTTTAGTGTTATCTTCTAAGATGGTGTTTTCATTTTTATTCATTTTAAAATACCTTCTAATTTCCATTTTGATTTAATCTTTTACCCATGGGTTATTTAGAAATGTATTATTTAGTTTCTAAATGTTTGGGGATTTTCCAGAGATTTTTCTGTTACTAGTTTCTAACTTAATTCCATTGTGGTCAGAGAACATACTTGGCATTACTGAATCCTTTGAACTTATTGAGACTTGTTTTATGGTCCAGAATATCTTCTCTCTTGGTGAATGTTTTGTGAGAAATTGAGAACAAATGTATTTTCTGCTCTTTTTGGTCTTTTTGGGTAGAGAGTTCTAAAAACGTCAGTCAGGTTTTATTGGTTTATGGTATGTTCATGTCTACTCTATTCTTTGTGATTGCTTAATAATTGTTATATCACCTATTAAGGGGGGGGCATTGTATTTCTGATGTAAATTGTGGATTTTTTACTTCTCTTGTAGTTTGTTAGTTTTTGCTTCATATATTTTGAAGCTGTGTTATTAGTTGGCTAAATGTTCTGGATTGTTATGTCTTCTTCATTAATTTGCCCCTTCATCCTTATGAAATGACCTTTGTTATCATTGGTATTAATCTTTGCTCTGAAATCTACTTTGTTTGATATTAATATAGCCATTCTGACTTTTTGTTGATTTATGTTAGCATGGTACGTATTTTCTATTGTCTTTATAGTTGAAGTGCATTACTTGTAGGTAGCATGTAGTTGGATTTTGCTTTTTTGTTTTTTTAGATTTTATTTGAGAGAGAGAGCACACAAGAAGGGTGGAGGGGCAGTGGGGGAGGGAGAAGAGACTCCCTGCTGTGCAGGGAGCCCAATGCAGGGCTCCATCCCAGGACCCCAGGATCATGATTCAAGCCGAAGGCAGATGCTTAACCGACTGAGCTAACCAGGCACCCTGGATTTTGCTTTTTTTTTTTTAATTGAATTTGACAATCTCTACCTTTCAAATGGGGTCATTTACATAATTTTGTTTTAATTTTCACAACAATCCTATATGTTCTTTTTAGTCTCAGTTTATTAAAGAAATAAGAAAACAGAGAAAGAATAGGTAACTGTCCTAACTTTGCACATAGTAAATGCTAAAGCTACCACTTAAACTCATAAACAATGTGTCCCAGGATTCCTTATTGAAATTACTAAATTTTTATTGTAGTGGGACTCTTTTTATTTTCTCCAGTTTTATTGAAATATAATTGACATATTACATTATATTAGTTTTAGGTGTATAATAAGCTAGTGGGATCCTGTAGAGAAGTTTCAGAAAAGCAGAGGATTGACTTGGATACATTTGTATTTTATAGAATGTTGATGTTGGTGGTGGTAAGAAGGATAGTTTGAATGGGAAGGTCTTATGTTAAGGAAATGATGTTAGGATGGTCTTACAGTAGTTGAGGGAGAGAGGTAGATATTCCTTGCTAAGACAATGGCAAAGAGTATAAAGAGAGGAGGCCAGATCTGAAAAATATTTTTGAAGTTGAGTCAGTAGCTTGATAATTGGATGCAGGTGCATGGAGAGAGAAATGGAGACAAGGAAGACCACTTAAAGGTGTCTGGCCTGTGAGCCTAGGAAAATGGAGGCAGAAAAGTTTAAATCCTATGGATTAATCGTAGGGGGGATAAACCAGACAAATTTAGATTATGGTATATATTCTTTGTTGTATTATTTCCTTTCATGACATTGACATTTTTGAAGAGTTTAGGCCCGTTGTCTTACAGAATATACCATAATCTAGCTTGTCCGGTTTTCCTCCTATGATTAGATTATGGTTAAACATTTTTGGCCAAGATTACTAAATGCTTCTCATTGGATCATATCAGGAGGTACATGATGTTTGTATGATTATTGATGATGCTAACTTTAATCACTTTGTAAACGTATTTTCTACCTGTTCTCCTTCCAGCAAGTATACATTTATTTCTTTTTAATTAAAAGTATCTTGGGGTTAATATTTTGTATTCCTACAAAGTCGTAAGCAGTCTATGGACAACAGCAGATTGTGTGTGTATTCTGTAACTTGATCCTCAATTTTGGAAGGTGAACAATAGGTTTTGAGCTCACATGGAAATAATGGTGTGAATGGAATGTTCAGATGACAAGGAAAGGGTGGTTATGAAATGAAGATGGACAGGTAGAACTTTTGTGCCACACCACAATGGGAACATTGAAAGGTTTTTAACATGGAGTTGGTTGGGGTGATACAATTGGATTTGAGGGGTTTTTTGTTTGTTTTGTTTATTTTTTTAGAGAGAGAGAGATTTGAGAATACTAGTGAGATTAAAATTAACAGAATTTGGTGACTGGTTAAATGTTGAGTGTGGAGGATTGAGAGTTTCCTGGTGACATAATATTTAGTAGGATTGCCTGACTCTTTGACTAGATTGTGCTAAGTATGACATTTAAGGAATTAGATTTTATAAGTGTTACAGAGACAGGGCCTTGTGGATTCTCTTAGTTTCTCGTCGTCTTTGTACTTATTCTGCTTTTATGAGGACGTTAACAATATGATTCTATTTAGGGAAGTGATTTCTTCTTGTTTTATGCTACCCAAAATGTTCACTTAGAGCTGCCGCTAAGCCTTTGAATGGATAGAACAGGATCTGGTACAATCTCTTAAAATGATCTCACTAGGTGGAATAAGATTTTTGTGCAAATAATTTGTAAGGTCACCCCTAGCTCTAAAATTTTGATTCTATGGTATATCTGCTTTTCTCTCAGACAGCGTATTTTATTTCCTGAAAAATTTAATGTTTTCTTTGTCTCTTTATGTTTTTCGAAGATGTTCTCAGTGCAACTGAGTCTTGGTGAGCAGACATGGGAATCCGAAGGGAGCAGTATAAAGAAGGCCCAACAAGCCGTTGCTAATAAAGCTTTGACTGAATCTACGCTTCCCAAACCAGTTCAGAAGCCACCGAAAAGTAATGTGAATAATAACCCAGGTACGGCACTGACTTGTTTCCTTCTGTTGTCTTGTTGTGTTCTGTGGGTGTTGTTCTCTGTACTTGCTTCGTAGCAGGCCAGCTGCGTAGTCAGGTATCAGTAGCACCCGCACAAAAAACAACTGAATAACAATTGAAGGTGAGGGAATGAGGAAGGTCATTATAATTATTTTGAAAATTTGCTTTGTGGATACTCTAAAGATGTGTTACTTACTTTTTAAATGTTGACAAAAATACATTTGGATACAAAGAACAGAAAGTATGACTGAGTTGTGTTTTTTTTTTAAGTTTTTTATTTCAATTTCAGTGTAGTTAACATACAGTGTTATGTTAGTTTCACGTGTACAATATAGTGATTCAAAAAGTCTACACATTACTCGGTGCTCATCCTGATAAGTGTACTCTTTAATTCCTGTCACCTATTTCCTCCATCCCCCTCCCCACCTCCCCTCTGGTAACCATCATTTTGTTCTCTATAGTTAAGAGTCTGTTTCTTGGTTTGTCTTTCTCTCTTTTATTCCCTTTGTTCATTTTGTTTCTTATATTCCACATATGAGTGAAATCATACAGTATTTGTCTTTCTCTGACTTATTTCATTTAGCATAATACTGTCTAGCTCCATTCTTTTTTATGGCTGAGTAATATTCATATATATTCATATATATATCCCGCCTCTTCTTTATCCGTTCATCTGTGGCTGGACACTTGGGCTGCTTCCATAATTTGGCTATTGTAAATAATGCTGCAATGACTGAGGTTTTTATAAAGATAGAAATGATCAATTTCTCTTTTTATATAATATATAAAAGTACAGTTTAATAATTAAAAATAGTTATTGTTTATTTTAGCTTAATAAAAAATTACACAGTTAGGTCTAAGCATCTTATTTTGCTTGTTGGTGTAGAAATGGTTGATAGAACTGTTCAAATTTAGAATACTTATGGAAGTTTATAAAGAAACCCAGAAATCCAAAAAAAACCTGTGTGTGATATAATGCTAAGTAAACAAGTTTTCCAGTTTTTATCTCCTAAGAATAATTTTAAAGAGTTGTTCCAGTTGCATATAATACCAACATTGTGCATCCAGTCATCTATTTGGAAGAGGCAAACCTGTATTGGACATAATGCATGAATTGATAACATCAAGTTAATAAAGTTCCATAAGTTTGGTACTAGCCCTACATCCATTTACTCATTAATTTATTAGTTTAAGAAGTTACCTTCTGACAAATATTACTTTAGGTATTTTTGTGATGAGTAAAAAAAAGACTTTTTCCTGCCACAAATGACTGTAATCTATTTAATTAGAGTGAGTCCACATGCTCAGGCTTATAATCATCTGATGCTTCTTTCTTTCTCATGTGGCATGTGCTAAGTAGACATAGTCTATTCTTTCAAGGACTGCTCTGTCTAAAACTGCATGAATTTCCTATTACTCCTCCTTTTGCTTCTGTTCAACTGATTCTAGTAGTTATTAAGTAAGCTTAAATAAGCAAATTATTATTACAGTAAAGAAAAACACCTACTCTAGTCATTTGAAGTTGGTAAGAGGCTGTTTACTGTTATAATTTTTAAAAATCTCTTTAGATTACTGGTTATCATTAGTACCACACCACTGCCTCTGTGTATTAAGCACTTGCTTTTATATATTTAAGAGATATAAAACATTGTCCTTTTCTGTGAAAACTTTACAATTGTATACATAAATCACATAATTTAAAGGTAAAGATTAAGTACCAAGTGAATAATAACACTTATCAGTATTATAAGTAATGATAAACATGGATGGGAGTATTTGAGGCTAGATAAAGGTCCTTGAATGGAGAGTAGGCCAGTCTAGAGGTGAGGAAAGAATATTCTAGGCAGAGGGAGTACAATGAAGAAAGGCATTGGAAATAGGATTGTGGATGATAGTTTTGGTAAGAAAACTTTTTTGGGAGTGGTTTTTAATTAGAGCAGGTAAGTGACTAGGAAGAGCTAAGATTAGAGATACAGTAGGGGTGAATTGTGATGGACTTGAATGCCAGGTTTAGGAGATCAGATTTTACCTGTAGTTTAGGCAATTAGTATTTATAAGCTAGTGGATGATGTGTTTAAAACAGCATTTTAGGAAGTTCAGTTTGATATGTGGATTGAAGGTGGAAAATACTAAAAGCAAGATCAGTTAGGAAACTGTTGCCATAGTTTATGGGTGAAGAAAAGAAACTCCTGTGCATCGAGTACTATATGCCGTCTGCTCTATGATAGTTTTGGGAATGGCCGTGGGAATGGAACAGAAGGACCGATGTTGCTGATCCAGTGGTTGAAGCCGTGTTAGAGAGCAAGCTGTTCGGAGCACACAGTGTGAAGCAATAGCAGTGTGTGCCCATCCCTGCAGCAGGTCCACTTTAGAGGATTATAATGGGAAGTAAACCAACAAGGGAGTCAGGGGAAGGAAACAGGAGAGTCCGAAAGGCCAGTGGTGATGAGTTTGTGCTGTTGAGTGTTGCAGTGAGCTGATAGAATGAGTAGCTTTTGGAAGGTAAAGTTTTAAAATAGAGTATAATATTGCATACCGGCAAGTGCACAAATTATAATTGTAGAGCCTTGATGGTTTTTTGCTAGCACCACAGGCTTTACCAGTGCTCCAGAAGCCTCCCTCATGTCCCCTTCTAGCGGTCAAACAACTTCAAAGGAAGCCACTCTTCTGCTTGTCTGTCTTAAATTCATTGTTCCTGCTTATTAGAATCATGCACTATACTCTTGTGATAGCTTGTTTTTCTCAGTGTTACATCTGTGAGATTCATCCATTTTGTATTTAACAATATAGTATTTCATTGCTATACAGTATCCATTGCATGAATATACTGTAACTTATTTATTGTACTATTGATGGACATTTAGATTGTTTCCAGTTTCAGGCTCTTAGAAGTAAAACTGCTGTGAACATTCTTGTATGTGTACATTTTTGTTGGGGACGTACCTAGTATTGGAACTGTTGGGTCATGGGTTATGCATGTGTTCATGCAAATCAGAGTAAGAGTTAAGACCGGAAGTCAGTGAGCATACACAAAAGACAGGTATCATAGCTGCTGTTCTTACATCACAGTCTTTTATTCCTAGACCTAGTGGGAAAGAGAAGAAAGCTGTTGAGGCATCAGGTAGACACAGTAAGGAAACGATCATAGTTTTGGCCAGATTGAATAGTGAATTAGAGCAACAATTAAAGTATGTCCTTGAAGAGAGAATTTCCTTGGAAGTTCAGCTGGAAAAACTTTGACCATTCTCTTACCTATAAGCCAATTGCTGTAAACTGTGAACATATCCATTTTTAAGTGGTTTGGGGTTACCTGGTTTGGAGGCCCAGACATTCAGCTTGCTACTTAATTCAACATTAAATTTTATTATTTGCTTTTGCCCTGTGTGTTCACCATTGTGTTAAAGTATCCTTTAATTTTTAAATTTAAACAACAAAAGGGTCAGGATGACCGGGAAAAAAAAGAAAACCCAAAACAAAACAAAACCAGAAAAACCCCAAAACATACATGAGCTATACAGGTGGCATGTAGTCGCAGCTACTTGGGAGGCTGAGGCGGGAAGATCCCAGAAGTTCTGGGCTGCAGTGCGCTGTGCTGATCAAGTGTCTGCATAAAGTTCAGCATTGATAAAGCGACCTCCTTGGGAGTGGGGGACCACCAGCTTGCCTAAGGTGGGGTGAACCAACCCAGGTTGGAAACAGAACAGATCAGAGTGGTGGGATTGTGCTTGTGAAGAGGCACTGCACTCCAACGTGGGCAACATAGCAAAACCCCCTGTCTTTTTGCCCTGCCCCAATTTAGGGAATCCTGTGTCTCCAAAAAAAAAAAATTTGCCCCTTTGAAAAAAATAACACACATAATAAATGCATATGTAATACATCACGTCAAAGTGTAATTTTCCCTTCCTACTAGCAACCCACGAGAGCGCTCTACATCCTTGTCAACGTATGGTCTCTTAAGCTTTAAAAATTTTAGCTATTCTTCTGGGAGTAAGGTAGTAATTCAGTGTAGTTTTAATTTTCATTTCCTTAATAACTAATGATGGTGAGCACCTTTCCATATGGTTATTGGTATTGCGATCTCTGTTGTAGAGTGCCTTGAAATAATTTACTCATTTAAAAAAACCTGCATTGTCTGTTTTCTACGTTTTTCTATTTTTTTATTGACTTTAGGATTCTTACATATTCTGGATTCAAATCTTTTGTTAGATATGTGCGTTGCAAATATATTTCTATAATGGTATATTTTGATGAACAGAAATTCTTTAATTCTTTAAGTCAAATTTATTAGTCTTTTCCCTATGGTTAGTGTCTTATTTAAGACATCTTTGTCTCCCACAATGTTATGAAAATAATCTTATAAAATTTTAGAAGCTTTATTTTATTTTTAAAATTTAGATCTAGAGTCTGTCAGGAACTGAGGTTTATGTATGATGTGAGGTAGGGTTCATGATTTTTCTTCTTTTTAATATATAGATGTTCAGTTAACTCAGTACCATTTATTGAAAAGACAATCCATTTCTGTCTGCACTGCAGGGAGGGGGGAGTTCAGTCCTGACTTCACATCAAGTAGAGATAGTATTTACACCCCAAAGAGGAGTTAAATTCATTTACAGCATGGCTTAAGACTATATCATAGAACTGTTTTGCTTTCTCCCTCCTTTTATTTTTTTTAACTTTGTTGGAAATAATTTCATATTTATGTAAAATTTGTAGCAAGAGTACATAGTGCATCTATTATGTACCCTTCACCCAGATCCCCCAACTGTTAGTGTTTCTGAACCAGTGGAGAGTAAGTTGTGGGCATGTGGTCCCATTCCCCTTAGTACTTCAGTGTGTTGTTCCCAAGTACATGGCCATTCTCCTGTCAGGAAGTTAACATTGATCTGGTATTACCATGTAATGCAAACACTCCCATTTTTCCTTCATTGATTGTCCCAGTAATATTCCTTTGTATGTCCAGGATCTAATCGGGATCGTGTATTTATCATTTTTCATTCTACTTCAATCTGGAATAGTTCCTCAGAGTTCTTGTCCTTTATGACCATGACATTTTTGAATAGTACAGGCCACATCATTTGTAGAATGCCCCTCAATTGAGTTTATCTGGAGTTTCCTCGTGATTTTGAATTTTTAGCATGAATGTCCCAGTGGCGTTGGCTTAGCTCAGTGTTACTTACAAGGATAAACCCGATACTGATTTGTCCCATTAGTGATGACTTTTGTCATTTGGTGAAGACTATGTTTGCCAGGCTTCTCTACTGTAATGTTAATTAATAAGTATGTTTTCTTATTAAATAATAAGGAACTAATTATTTTCTGAGGAGAAACTTGGGGACTATATAAACATTCTGTTCCTCATCAAACTTGCTTTCACTTACCAGATTTGGCATCTATTAATGATTCTTTTCTGAATCAGTTAATACTCTGTAATGCCACAGGGTGATTTAATTAATTAATTAATTAATTAATATGGCTTAAAACAACAGAAACTTATTTTCTCTTAAAGGGTGATGTTTTGATTCCATTTGTTTTGTTTTTAATATTTATTAGTTGGCATTCTACCCTAGAATCTTCTTTTTCCCCTCATTTTTTTGTTCATTTATTTCTATCACTATAGACTCTTGGATACCTATTTTACTTACAGGATTATAATCTATCATTATTTATTTCGATTTGCAATTTGTCACAGACTTGACCAGGGGTATGAACCTTTCCAGTTGACTCCAGAGTCCTTCTACTGTTTTCATCCTTCTTGAGCACTTCTTACTTTCTGGCTCAGTAAGATGTTCCAAGGTCATCTCGTATATTCCTTGTCCTGGCCCTGGCACCAGCCATTTCTTCAAGGAGCCTTGGTTGATTAATTAATCAGTTCATTGTTTGAACAAATATTTATTGAGTGACTGCTATGTTCCAGGGACTATTCTGCCTACAAAGCTTTTCCTTGAGTGTTAGCAATGTATAGCTCCTTGAAAACTAGTTGTGGCATTTTTCTTTCACGTTCCACAGAATGGGAATCCACAGTAGTTGTTATGTATGTTTGTATATATAACCAATTAGCCTTGTTATATTTATCACTGATAAATACAGAAATTTCCTTTAATCTACCGAAAGACCACTAGAAATGGATTCTGCGTTGACAGTGTCCGCTTTACAGCCATGTGACGCACGGGGAGTGCTGTGTCATGATCGTCTTTATGCAGCCTGGGTCCAGCTCGCACCTGCTGGAGTGGTACTTAGCATTACCTGCAGGTTCTCACAGTTTGAAGTGACTCTGTACGTGTTTGCTGTGGGAGCATTATTGTGTAAGTAAAGAGGCTGTGCACACGCAGTGGCGGCAGTCTAGGTCTTTATGAAACAGGTGGAGATACTTGGCTTCAGGAGTCAAAACCTCGTCAGCACAGTTTGCACTTGTCTGGTGCTTTTCTCCACTGTCCTTCACGAAGACCAGTGTCTAGCATTTCTGTGAAGAAAATAGACTGCAGCCTTATTTTCAAATGAGGATTCATATGAAATCTTTGATTTATTTAAATGGTATGAATATAATACTTCTACCTAGCTTAAAACCCAATTTTGGTATGGGTGGCAGGACATAGTATATCCTACCAGTGCATTAAAATCACCTCACTGATGATTGTTAGTTACATTAGTTTCTGTTTATTGTCCTAACTAAAGGATGAGGCCTTTCAAACTTTTTTTCTTTTCTTTTTTTCTCCATTTGAACTTTATGCTATTTGTGTCTGTATGATTGTTGCAAAGTAGAATTCAGAAAGACTTAAATCTTACAACCAATTGACATGTTAATCATTAAACTGCAGTATATATGAAATAAGAAAAAAAACTTTTAAAAAGATATGGACTACTCTTTGGTGTTAAATTTGTAGAAGACTGTTAGACAATTTCTAATAAAGTTAACCATAAACCTACTCTATGATCTAGTAGCAATTCCACTGCAAGGGATATACCTAAGAGAACTGAGTGTATATGTCTGCTAAAACACTGTGGCTTTATATAATTGCTCCCAACTGGACACAACTCAGATGTCCCATCAGCAGCAGAGTAGATAAACTGATGTATCCATTCAGTAGAATACTATTCAGTGATTTAAAAAAAATATTTGCAATACTGAAATAGTTGACAAAATTGTTACATTGAGTGAAGGAAGCACGATAGAATAATACATATTCAGGTTTGAAGAACAGGCAAAACCCTGATGACAGAAGTCAGAATAGGTAACTTGGGGAGGTGGGTACTGACTGGAAATAGCTATGATGGAACTTTCTGGGTGATGAAAGTGTTCATATCTTGATCTGAATGGTGGTCACTGAATGTTTATAATGTGTAATAATTTGTAGATTTGTATGCTTAAGGTTTGTGCATTTTACTTACCCCTCAGTAAAATACTGTAGGAAAGAAAGAAAAGAGAATCCTTTATTTTTGACTTTCTCTTCCTCTGCCCTGAGTGTTGGTATTAAATTAGGGGTTTGGACTAATTGGACTTATGTTCAGTATGTTAATGTTCTTTGCTGTTTTTCTTATGCTTATCTTTTTTCTTTTCCACCTCCTTTGTCCTACCACCCTCTTTGTTTTTCCCCTTAACCTTGGTTTAGTTCCTGTTCTAACTATACTCTTCAGTGGTTTCGCATAAATTCTTTAGAACTGGGACACAAAGTGAGCAGTTATTGACTGTTGCTGGATAGCTGATGACGCGGCTGCCGGTTCTGCGTTTGCGTCAGGCTCCGGCACCCCCGATGGGCGCTTTATGCCAGCCCCATTTTCTCTGCTGCAATAAGTGGATCCATTTTTGTATGTGACGAATGGAGTCTTAAATGTATGTTGCAAAAGGCATAATTCCAACAAAATAGTACAGGATTTACACTGAAAAAATAAATTTTACTTTCTATAAAAACTTTAGATTCATATCTGTGATTTGTTATATGTAATGTGTATATAATGTTTTACTAAATAACCTCTTTTGTACTCAAAATAATGTAATAATTTAGTGTGTGTTATTTATTATGGAATTTTTCAAACTTTTACAAAAGTAGAGCTGTGATAAGATAGTGAACAGCCCCATACCCATCACCACCTTCAACAGTCATCTACACATAGTGGTCAGTCTTGTTTCTCATCTGTCTCTCCTCTGAATTATTTTGAAAGAAAGCTCAGATATATCACTTTATCCATAAATGCTTTAGTATATATCTTTAAAGATTTACAGAAAGCATTAGTAGATTTACTTTGTCCTGTTGTTGGTTATAGAAAAAACTCAAAATGTATTTTCATGAGATAAGTCTAAGAATTACTGATGACCCTGTATTCATTGCTAACTTCAGATGCTTGATTAGCAAAATATAAAAATATTCACAGATGATAATGTTTTTAATGATTAAATAATTGAAAGCTTCCTGGGGTGAGTAATGCTGGCGTTCAATACTTTCTTTTTGGTATCCAAATTAAGCAGTCTGTGAATCTTGTGTTTTCCTTGTTTTGAAACAGTCTTTCAAGTTGAATTTTTGGTCATGAATATACAAAAAAGCTTGCAAACCCCAAAGAGATTTCATTAGAAACAATTTTCCTGTTTATGCAGTTTGTTTATACACCCCTGAGAAAATCATACAGACAGGCCATCAACTCCCACCTTCTTTCATGGTAATTACATGTAATGTAAGTGTGGCTTGCGTGATTTATTATGGAAATATTTCACTTGTGTGCTTTTAATATTTTTTTTAAACAGGTAGTATAACTCCAACTGTGGAACTGAATGGGCTTGCTATGAAAAGGGGAGAGCCTGCCATCTACAGGCCATTAGATCCAAAGCCTTTCCCAAATTATAGAGCTAATTACAACTTTCGGGGCATGTACAATCAGAGGTTTGTATGTCTTCTTTGGTTTTGTTCTTACTTATTATTTTACACATATTGTAACAGTTCTGAAACTCAAAGAGTATTTTCATTGTAAGACATTTACTTTGGGCATTTTGCATGGAATTTAGATAAATCAGGCTCAAAAGAATATTTAAAGTAATACATTTAAAAATAACTGGTTTTCAGAAACTAGTTTTTATTGAGTCTGAGAACCCTGTATTTGTTACAGGCAGGACCGTGTTTTAAAATCATGCCACAATATAGTGCTGACTTTTCCTTTGACTTGCTCATTTATTTACCAAGCAGATACATAGCTTAATTAGTGGTTTTCTTAATTTGTCCAACTACATTGCAAACACGAATGTTTTTAATTTATAGGAAATTTGTTGGAAGGATTTACTAAGTCTCTACACATTGCATAATTTTGTGATAGTTACAAGTGTAACAGAATTTTCTTTTATGGGCAAGGCAGAATTTTTAAAAAAAAGTTAAGTGTTTTTTTCTGATCATTTGTAAAAGTCATACAACTCATTATAGAGAGTGTAGAAAATGCAAAAAGTTAAAAAGAAAATATAAATAACATGTAATCCCAGAATTAAAAATACCTTTAATATTTTGATGTATTTTACACTTTTTAAAATTCTTTGCACATATATTTGACCACAGTGAAGTTATCCTTTATATTCAGTTTCTACAGTACTTTATGGAGGTATATTTATGTGAATGGCAAAATGCACAGATCTTCAATGTACATTGTGATGGCTATTATTTATGTATATATACATATTTATACTTGATCACTTTTTGTATGTGTATACCCTCACGTGATGACCAGCCCGATGAAGGTTCAGCATGTTCTGTCACCCTGGGAATTTCCTCACCCCTATTTGCAGTTGTTATACCTCCCCCCAGGAGGAACCATGGTTCTGTCACTGTACATTAGTTTTGCCTGTCGTTGAACTTCATATAAATAGATTCATACAATATGTACTCTTCTGTGTCTGGCTTTTTTCACTTCATATAATGGTTTTCTTATTTGTTTGTTTTTGGTTTTTGTTTTTTGAGATTCATCCTTGTTGCTTGTATCTGGATTTTCCCCTTTTCTGTTGTTAAATAGTGTTCCTTTGTATGATGTATCATAGTTTGTTCATCTCATATATACAATATTATGCCCTCTTTTAATTTGATATAGTGATCATTTTTCACATTTTTTAAAAGGTTATTTTTTTAGTAATCTCTACACCCAGTGTGGGGCTCAAACTTACGACCCCGAAATCAAGTCTCATGCTCTGAGCCAACCAGGTGCCCCCATTTTTCATATTTTTAAGTGATCTTTGAAAACATATTCGATGGCTATGTAATGCTTCATTTGGCCAGGGTATATTTTACAAGGATATAAACAGGTATAAACAAAGAATACTTGATAATTATATAAACAAAATGTACTTGTTTTGATCATCTAAGTTTTTTTTTGACAATTATAAGGTGCAACCATCTTTACATATAAATTTTTGTTTACATCACTGATTATTTCCTTAAAATAGATTACCTTATAAGGGGAATATTGGGTTAGAAAGAATAATATGTTGCACAATTACATTAAAATTTATATTAATTACTCAGAGTATATTCTGTTCCATTCTGACAACACTGACTTTAAAAAAAAAAACCACGTTGTCTTGTTTGATAGATAAAAAGTGGTATGTTTTTAAATTTTGGTTTTATTGATTACTTGTGGGGCTGAACAATTTTCAAATATTTTGTTTGACCTTTTTGATTTGTCTGTTTGATTTGCTAATTTCTGTTGCATTGCTTGGCAGATCTTCAAATGTTTATGTGTTGGGGATATTAGCATTATGTCTGTTTTGTTTAATTTTCGTGCTTTGAAAAAACTGGCTTTTAGTTTTGTGTTTGTTTTGATGTGTAACAGTTTTAGATGTTATATGGCCTAGTATTTTTGTGTGTGTGTGTGTGTGATTTCTCCAACTGCTTTTATGCCTAAGAAATTCTTGTGATCAGATACTTGCTAATGCTTAAAAAGAATATTTTTATAATTGACATACAACATTGTGCAAGTTTAAGGTATACAGCCTACTCTATGTTGCATTATGATTGCTATTGTAGTGTTAACTAACACGATCATGTCGCATAATTACCGTTTCTTCTAGTGTTGGGATGCTGATACTTTTTATTTTTATTTATTTATTTAAAGATTTTATTTATTTGACACAGAGAGAGCGACAGCGAGAGAGGGAACACAAGCAGGGGGAGTGGGAGAGGGAGAAGCAGGCTTCCCGCTGAGCAGGGAGCCTGATGTGGGGCTCGATCCCAGGACCCTGGGACCATGACCTGAGCCGACGGCAGACGCTTAACGACTGAGCCACCCAGGCGCCCCTGAGATGCTGATACTTTTTAAATAATTTTTTGTATTTACTACCATTACAGTTCAGATGTGAGAAGATGTGTGGTCTATACATAATGATACCTTTTGGTGTCTTGTTTGGCAGTGGCGTATTTACCACTTAAAACTTAGTCCTATTCAGATTGTAAATGGTTCTTTTAAATATTATTGCTTATGTTCTACAAGAAAAATGAGTACAATTTTCTTAGACTTCTGCTCTTCCCCTCTTTTCTCCTAGGTGTGTCTGGGGGAATTTACTGTGTTGTCTTGGTAGGAAAGGAGGGACCCTCACCTTTGTGTGGGTGTCTATATTGTCCTCTGAGCTCCTCTGGTCTTTGTGATGATGTCCCTTGTCCACCAGATAGCTGACACCTTTCTCTCCTGCCTTGCCGAAACCTGCAGTTGGTGATGTGTAGTCCATTTTTTCCTGTCAGGTAATGCTTCCATAGAGTATTTACCATCTCTCCCTTGCTCTCTTGACCTAAATCCTTAACTCTCTTTGGCTCCCTGGAGTGTTTTTCCATTCTCATCCTCTTCAGTAGTGTCTCCTAAACTGGAGCATCCAGTGGCAGGCTTATCAACTCTCAACTTGGTGTCCACACCACATAGGTAGCAAGAAGGACATAACATTTCTCTTGTAGTTGCTTTACTTTCCCTTTTTCTGTATAACCTGCCTATAGCCTTTCTTGTAAGCTTGAGGTTACCTAATATAAATAAAACTATTTGCCCACTTAAGCACAATAGATAAATTTGGTCACCTGAGTTAGGAACACCTTACCTATCAAGATATTTTACTTTTAATGTACTATAGTAAACAGACACATGAGGATATTTAAATGCTTATTATATTTTGATATCTGTAGTTCTTTATTGAAATCTTACTAGAGTTTTTTTTTTTTTTTAAGATTTTATTTATTTATTTGACAGAGAGAGACACAGTGAGAGAGGGAACACAAGCAGGGGGAGTGGGAGAGGGAGAAGCAGGCCTCCCGTGGAGCGGGGAGCCTGGTGCGGGGCTCGGTCCCAGGACCCTGGGATCATGACCTGAGCTGAAGGCAGACGCTTAAGGACTGAGCCACCCAGGCGTCCCTAGGGTTTTGATTAGTGGATTTATTACTTTTAAATGAAAGAAATCTGGTGGTAAAGCAATGAAAAATCTGACAATAATCTCTGTGGATTATTATTATGGAGCTCATGTTCTAGTAAGGGAGGCAGTTATAAAGAGTTGGTTACTCACTGAGAAGGTGACTTTTGATAAAGACTAAAGGAAGAGAGGGAATAAGTAGTGTGTACGTCACTAGAGAAGGGGAGAACATTCCAAGCAGAACAAACAGGAAGTGCAAAGCCCCCGAGGTAGGAAGGTACCAGGCGTGTTGATGTCTTCTCCCGCAGACCAGTAGGGCTGGAAAAGACTGAACCAAGGAGGAGAGTAGTTGGTATATGAGGATGTGACAAGGGTCATATGGTTTGGTTTGATTTTTTTTTTTCTATTGTAGGTCTTCTGTTAAGAATGTTGATATTTTTCCTTTGTTGGCAATTTCTAGTTTCAAGATCTGATTCCATAGTTGTCATGAGGGGTCTAAGGATTTATGTATGACTTCTCTAAGGGGTTGTGCTTTAGGCCATTCCCACTTAATGGATAAAGTGGACTTTGCTTTCAGATTGTTGGGAGAGTCTTTAGAATATTCTGCAGATCACAAAAAAGGTAAAAAAAAATAGAGAAGTACTGGTAAGCTGCCATGTTTCAACTGAAAAGCTCTCTGCTCACAGAAGGGCAAACCTAACCGTTACTCATTAGGCTGTAAAAATTAGATTTTCCCCTTGGGTGCCTGGGTGGCTCAGTTGGTTAAGTGTCTGCCTTCAGCTTGGGTCATGATCCCAGGGTCCTGGGATCAAGCCCTGCGTCGGGCTCCCTGCTCAGCAGGGAACCTGCCTCTCCCTCTGCCTCTGCTTGCCGCTTTCCCTGCTTGTGCTCTCTCTCTCTCTATGTCAAATAAAAGTAAATAGGGGCGTCTGGGTGGCTTAGTCGTTCGGTGTCTGCCTTCAGCTCAGGTCATGATCCCAGGGTCCTGGGATCGAGCCCCGCATCGGGCTCTCTGCTCCGCAGGGAGCATGCTTCTCCCTCTCCCTCGGCTCCTCCCCTCTGCTCCTGTTCTCTCTCTCTCTCAAATACGTAAAATCTTTAATTAAAAAATATTTTAAAAATTAGGATTTCACATATGACCTTAATCTGCAGATGACAACACCTGAATGTGTCACAGGGAATTTGGAGCCAAAGATAGAGGAGACTCTTTTCTCCTTGTCAGACTCCAAATGAATCAGTAGCTTCTTAATAAGGCAGGGAATGAAAGGTTAGAAAGTCCAAGAAACAGGTATCATTTAGAGAGATTTATAAAAAGATCCTTTCATTTTCTACTTAAAATAATATTAAGTAATAATTAGACATTACCCATTTTGGTTTTTTAAAAAAAATACTTTTTATTAAATTCTGTTTTTTTAAGGTTATTTATTTAGAGGGAGAGAGAGCATGAGCAGGGGGAGAAGCAGAGGGAGAGGGAGAAAGAATCTGAAGCAGACTCTGTGCTGAGTGCGGAGCCCGACACAG